GCCTAATCGTAGTATCAAGATCAAGAACAGTATTCGTTATTAAATTACTACAAATTGGCATTTTTGAAAATTATAATGTAATAACTTCCGTGACCAGTGATGTTAAGATAAAAAACGAAAGAATATACTTGAAAAATATCAGTATTAACTTGAGGATCTACCATTGAAATTGTTGATTAAAGTCCAATCAGCTTTTCTGCTCATAAATTAAAAAATTGGAATTTACTACTTTGAATACTTGTTCAAAATTTCAAGAAAATAAGACGTTTCCAAACATAATTTTAAACAGCTGCTAATATAGATATGTGTTCTTTATGTTTAGCTTCAAAAGAATCATTATTGTGGGTCGATAAGTATATGCCACCAAGTTGCTCTTCCTTTTTAAATACTTGTCCTGGCATAATGAAAATTCTTTTGTGGTTGGAAAAATGGAAGTATAAAAATTCTAAAATAGAAAATTCAGCGAAATCTTCATTAAATAAAAGTCAAACTGCAAAGTCTACAAAAAGTAAGTCTCAACTTTGTTACAGTAGTTTGTTGCCGGCATGATTGCAATCTGATAATCGTTCATTATTTTTAAAAGTCGAAATTTTATCTCCTGAGTCATAACATTTTTACGATTTCAGCAAAATCAGTTTACTCACATCTAAAGTTCAACAGATTTGGTGGATCAATGTCAGTCTATGCGAATTATGTTAAAAGGGAAACGTAGTGCAATATTAATCAAAATCATGAATCGATCAATGTTAGACCCTATTTAGAACTTGTAAGAACTGAATAGCTGCTTTGCCGTAGTGTGGAACTCATCTGCAGTTTGCATCCATGACCCCGCAAGCGGGAATCGAAACCAGGACCTCCGGTCTCGCGCCTGAACACTTAACCTCTAGACAACTTGAGCCGGCATCCAACGGTGTTATTGTTTAACTTCAATCAGTCTATGATATTGCACGACTTCATCCAATATGACAGAAATGCAACCTAGTTTCATTTATGCAGGATTTCAATTCATTGAACTATTATTGTTAGGTTCGTTTCTAGGTATGCTTGAAACTATTACGGGTTCACCTTATTCGATAAACGCGAACGAGACAATGGACCAGCGTCCAGGTAGGCCACCCTGATCTGCTGACTAATGAAAAGTCTTGATGTAGCGTAGGAAGTGTATTTTAAAAACATCCAGCAAGCACAATGCAATCAAGCACATACTGGAAACTATTTCGTAATGTGTTACTATTAATTTCAATTTAGTGCTCTGATCTCCATGAATTTATAATAAGAGCAGCAAATCATTTCAGTTATCTATCACCTAACAGTGGTACTAGTTATTAGCACTGGTAATTTTTTTAGAGTTTTGAAAATTATTTCTTATTAAATTAATTAACATTAACAGCCTCCTTTATTTTTCTTCTTCAAAGAAAGACTTCGATCAAGCCCTCGTTACTCTAGTGATGATGACTTTGTTGTGAAACCACCGGCGCATAAACGCTACAAATGTAACGTTCCTAATTCTGGTCCATTTGAAAAAACCAATGAGAAATCAACTTTAAATTTACCAATCGGATATATCCAAAATCAAGTAGATTTTTCTAACTCCAGCAGCTCAGATGAGGATACTTCGGCTGAAAGTGATGAAGAGCATAATGGTAATACTAATAAAAGACGTCTTCAGGCGAATTGGCAGTCCAAGGCTTTCTTGTTAATAGGACCTCATGGAACAGGCAAATCTGCACTAGTCTATGCACTAGCTAAAGATTTAGGTTTCAAAGTAGTTTCAATAATTTATTTAACTCATAAATTATTGTAATTTTTTCAAGATATTTGAATTAAACCCTCAAGTAGACGATCCGGTAAAGATATCACGTCCCAGTTCCATACTGCACTCGAATCACATCATGTTGCTAAAGATAATCTGTCCACTAGTTTTAGTACATTCCAAATGATAAGTAAGTTGCCTAGTTATTTTTTATTCAAATCACAATACTTAAGCATCATCATGTCTTACTAAGAATAATTCAAAACCGGTTCGCAAATCTGCAGCTAATTTCTTTAAACCAGTGTCTAGAAAAAATGTTTCATCTGAAAAGAACACTTCTTCCAGTAAAGGTACTTTGGTCATTGATTTACCAATCATGTTGTAGATGCAGAAAGTCTCAATTTAAATTGCAATTCAATAGTACTATTCGATGAGGTGAGTACAATTGTATTTTGATTTTTTAACCTATTTTTAATAACCTGGAAAAGGCATCTATACAAATCAAACTTTTCACTATTACTAATCTGTGGTTTGTTCTCAAGTCGTATCTGCGATACCTAATCTCTTCTATTACCACTAATGCTACCCCTAATACCTTGTGATTCGCCCTGATAATTTCATCTTTCTGTGTTAATGGAGTGTGGTGACTCGAATTACTCTTGTACACATGCGCTGGATTCTGTGTTGTGTATAACTAACTGACAAGAGGAAGTTGCTGATTTTTCTCACTTTTTCACCCACACTAAATATCATTCCTTTTTGAAAGTTATGGAAGTTCAATTCCAACAAAATCTTTAACAACTGACATGCAGATAATCATCACCAGTATTTATCGATAGGAGTTTGCAATATGGAAATTGAGACTTTGATTGTATATATGAATCATAATACTCAGGAATATGTACCTGTGTTTAATTTAAATCTTTTCATTGTGAGCTCCCCATGCTCAACGATATAATAAGTCATACTGTCTGAAAAGAAGTATCGCATAATTCGTTTGCATATACTCTAGACTGCTGACATCACCTGGAGATCATCAGTATCTGAAACCTGTTATGATTGACTACAATTTAATCGATACCTTGAGTAGCGAAATTCATTTGATTATATTTCTCTACTCTGTGTATACTAGTTCGGCCATCACTAGAGTCCTAAACATTGACTACCTAAACACTCCGACCACAATGATTCAACTTGAATTTGAGGTAAGGCCAATCTTAACTCCTACTGGTCCAGAACTTATACCAAGCTAGCCCAGTCTTCTGTCCCTTAATCGAACATAGCAAACACTAGTGCAATACACCCAAAACATGAAATCATGCTTCACATATAATCATGCCATATACGGTAAAGGACGAAACAAACAGCATACAGTATACAGAAACAAACAGTATGACATTAGTTACACTTCCGTAAAAAGAAACAACATCCTTAAGGCATTCTGTCATCGTTGTCATTGCCTTTTTTTGTACAAGTGGAGACTATCACTTCTAAGTGTAGACTTTTCAGATATTAACAATGATAAAATTGTTTTTGCTTAACAATTTATTACCAACCAAATTCATTATCAATAATAAAAATACCATAAATCATTTGACATTGGAGAATGAAATCAGTCATTGTTTTACATATCTATCTGTAAGTTAAGATATATTACTTTTATCAAAATGAATATGATCTGAGTTAAAAAAAAATTTTAAGTTGCAGTAAGCATCACTTTTAAAAAGATTTGTTCATCAATTCCATTTAAAATTCATTAACACTTTGGATGTGAAAATTCCGACATAAAGATCATGAAACATCAAGAAAAAAATTATGCCAATGATTTGGTTCTTATGTTGTTTCAGTTCAGTTGGATTCCATTAATTGAGTTTTTTGCTATTTCAGGTGGATGTACTTTTTGAAAGTGATCGAGGCTTTTGGTCTGGCCTAAGTAGTTTACTTCAACTTGCTCGTCGTCCAGTTATACTTACCGCTTCAGATTCTTCTATAGTTCACAATTTACCAGTTCCAGCTTATGTTTGTCATATGACATCAGCCTCGTTGGTATGGGAAAGTTTTACTGAATATGATTTTATCAGTTATATTTTTTATTGATGGCATTTCGTTCACCGATTAATTTCATAACTACATCCTAAAAGAGCATTAGAACATGTATACTGGTGTTATAAATTACAAATAATAGGTTTTACGTCGATCAAATATTAAATACTAACCAAATGCGTTATTGGTAAGATTAAAAACCTCATATGATAAGAGCTTAGAATAAATTGTATGTCTTAAGTTGATAAATTCTAATCAACAGATTAAAACTTTATTTCAAAAGATTTAATATAAATAAGAATTGTTAGGGATTCTGAATTTTCCGTTGTTGATATTCAGGACTGCAATCGGTATCGGTCTCCGTTAGCATATGTGCACCCTTAGCCGATTGCCTCAATAGTGTTATTTCACACGTTTCGGTACTATCCGCATACCTAGTACACGAAAATTAGGAACTGTTTTGTTATCGTTATTATGATAATGACAATAATTATTATTATGTTCTAGAAGGGAGTACAGATCTCAAGAAAAGAGAAAAGGGTAGTGTTTACAATCTGCGATAATAAGATTAGATTAGATTAGATCAGAAATGGGACGACCCTATTCGCGAACAAAATAAATGTATCTCTTGTACAAAATACGTCAAGTTACTTCTAGTTGATCCTAATGGCTTCTACCATATGGGGGAGATTTAGCCTTGCACCTACCGGCAAATTATATTAAGATTGAGAATATATTTTTAATCTTGTTGTTACGTTCATTATCAACTAGATAAGAAAAACTATCACTGTTTATAAACATAGTAACACCTTTAGCTAATCATATTTTTTTGAGTATTCTCTGAGGGTTTCTATTCTGTTCTCCTTCAATAGAAATATCTGTTCTTCATTTTCACTTTTTATCAAAGGAATTAGTTGTCCCCTATGTTCGTCTCCTCTGTTTAACCGAAGGATATGATTTGGATGTACAAACTGCAAATTCATTAGTAAAAAGCATTCAATCCCCTAACTTAATTGTTAATAAACCGTCTTCTGAACATTGTGACCTTCGGAGACTGATTAATGAACTACAATGGTTTTGTATCAGTGCTCCTGATGAGGAGGCAAACAGAAGAGATAATCATAAGGAAAATCAAAACGTAAGTGGTTTTCATTTTTCTTCACTATGTGTTTGTTATAAAAATATTGCATTTATTCAAACGTCAGTAATGTATTATTATAGTTTTAGTGGCCAGTGATATGACTCCACTTTGTACGAACAACCAAATATGCTATGAAATAAATCTTCCCTTCAATTTCCGTAAATCATACCCAGTCTATGCGATGGTGGTAATAAGAGGCCAAATACCGTTTCGTGGATGAATTTAAATCGTGCGTTCATTTAAAGCATACAAACAAAGCGAAGCGGAATAGACGCGAGTGAGCCAACTTCATGCTATAAGAAATGACTAAGCATTTATAGTCAGACAAATATACCAAGCATGCGATAAACAAAGTAATCAGGCACACACACACACTTAACTAAAAGTAACTAAGGATATTAAGGAATAATAGACAAGGTCGAGAGACGTATGAACAACTCGAGGAGATTAGATTGATTAGATTTTCCAAAGGCTAAGACAAGCCGTGTCCAAACTCCACTCTACCTTCTTCGTTTTAGACAACTGAGTAACCTTCATAACTAGTGTTGCCAACAACCAAGTACTCAGGTCTGTACTTAATAAATTAGCAAATAAGTCAGTCAGTCTTTAGTGTTGAGTGAATTCTGTCGTTGCAATAGCTGTGTTGTAATTAGTCTTTTCTTAAGAAATAAAATACCAAAGTCTGTAAATATCACTGTCATACGTTTTTCAGAATTTCCATCATTTGTGTTTAATTTAGAAAAATAATAAATAAATTAGTTTGTTTATTTATAAGTGAATGATTTATTTTTGTCTTCAAAGCTAACAATATAGTATGTGTTAGCAATTCTAGATAGCTATAGTGAATAGCTAAAGCTTCACTCGTGTGTGTATGTGTATGAATGAGTTGGTAAATGAAATTTGATTGGTTCATCTACGTTTTCATTCATTTTATTTTCTGCAAGTTGTATTTGTCGTATTCAGAGTACAGAGGAACACATACTCTTTTAGTATATATCCTATAACTTTTTCTAGGTAGGTTTTTTGTATTAATTTGATTTCTTCATAGACCTATCATCTATTGCGTTGATGTTAGCTAAGTAGTTGAAAATGTCTGATAAATTCATCATTCCATACTTTTTCTTTCCACTTGATGAAACTACTTTCTCATTTTGTCAATAGTATATCACTTATTTTGACAATTCTGTTTTGACCACCCTATAAATACTATGCAAAACATATGGCAATATTCATCAGCATTTATGGTGAAAAAATGTTACAATATTCACTTAAAAAAGAATATTCATGCTTTAATTCATTCCTTCTAGTTTACTTGTGCCTTTCATCAAATTGCAACATATCAATTTTACTCAAACACTATATCATCATCAAAATTTCCATTCACGGACAAATGTTTAGTTACTTTTTAACTTATCACGTGCTGTCAAAGTTTTTACCGGTCATATTGGGGATGACTTATGATAAATCGATGATTTTGATGATAGTGAAAACCGCTATTTAAAATACTAGCTATTTCTACTTCTTCATCATGCATGTTGTTATCGATTCCTCCTCGTTGTAACTATATATTATGAAAATTAAGGCTTATATTGCTTACAATTGAATGTGACAGCTGTTTCATCTTGGTTCTCAAACCTCGAAATACCGATTTATACACAGATTGTTGAAAGCATTTTGAAATACACAATAAACTGACCACTTAAAATTATTAAATAGAGCCTATATCAGGAATTCACAGTATTTGAAAAAATTTAATCCCTTTTATTCTTATCAGTTTCTTTAATGCCTTTTTAACCCCTAAAAACCTATTTTTTAACTACATATAATCATTATTTATTGTTTATCGATAATTGTTTTAACATATATTTCCCAATCTGCTTTTTCAACCCATTTTGTTCTTGTGCTTCGGTTTGCGATTAGGTTTCCCTATTTTCACTTCTCCTTGTATTCAGGTCGACCATCTTGTTTTGTTGGCCTCTAACCAGATTGCTGATTGGCTGTTTTTGAATGGGTTGTTAGATTGAGTCTAATCTGATATCTTTAGTGATTTCTGATTAATCTGAATCCTATACTTTCAGAAATTCTCTGTAGTTCTTAAAATTCCCTTAGTCCATAGGACACAACAGCAAAAGGAAAGAAATGCTACATTATCTAGAAAATAAACTGTGTCAAATGCAATCAACAAAGTAAACTACCTCTTCACCAGCGCTTACGTAAACACAGACTATCAGGAAAACGACAAGATATATTACCGGTGATATCAATAGATATCTACAGTTATGAACATGAACTCAACTGAAAAACGTCTAAATTCCGGACAATCAGGGGCGGGGGTTCTAGGGACGCCAGCGGATCTCCTGAAGCCTAACATTAGAATTACTTAGCTATCAATAGTCACATCAATACAGATCTAGTCGACAAACCCATTGAAAACGATCAATTAACAATCTGATCAGAGCTCAAGATAACAAGATGACCAGTTGAAGCACATATAAGAACAATAAAACCTAAAAACACTACCCGAATTTGAGCATCAGAGCAAATTAATTATAAGCTTTTGGAAAAACTAAAAATCTCACTTCTATATGAAATAAACATTGATAATATTGGCTGAAATAACTATGAAAACTCCATAACTAAACTATTCAGCTTAGAGAGGAGAATTCAATAACACTAAAATCTTTTTTTTTTAAATTTACTTTAATCATGATCATAGTTTCAATATTCTATGACATAATAATATGTGAATTCTGTTTATCTTTTTTTAGCCATCCATCATTCTAAGCGAATTAATGGATGATCCTCTAATTTTAATTCAAAAACTGTATCCTTCATTGTGCAATTTATCTGGACCTGTTCATCATAAATCATTAGATAATCCTAAATCTACTACTGATGAAAATGATTTATGCAATTTATTCACTGAAGACACTGAAAATGTTATTGATCTGATCAATCATGTAGGTGATAAATCAATTGTACGTATGGTGGACAACTTTTTATTATTTTTTTTTAATTTTCATCGACTAGTTTATATATGATTGATCGTTATTTGTCAAATACAAATCATTAAAGAAACTTTTTGTTGACAAATCAATCATGCAAAGAAGATTTTGGAGATTCGTTTTCACCAAATCGATATCTAATATCATAGATGATATTATATTTTATATTGTTCAATAATTACACTAATTTTCAGTGAAATTAATGTCATAAAAAGTATTAATAAAGGCTTGTAATTTCCTATCGTTTATTATTCTGTAGGGCGATTGGTGCTGTTGCCATATATGTGTATCCTAAACAGATTGTCTCGATATATTGTGATAACAAAAGTTTTTAGTATATTCATTTCTTGGTTAGTGGTGGGATTCTATTTGGAGTCTGTCGACTAGGTGTATTCTTCACCTCAGTGTTGATGTTCATACATACACAGCCAAATATTAGAAAATTAAGTAACAAAAACTAGTGATCCCATGTATAAATATATTTAACATTAACATTTTCCAGCTTACGAAACTTCTACACATTTCACGCAATCTCATAGCGTGGTGTGGGGAGAGGGTCAATATTTACTTGTAGCTTTATTATAAACATTACTTCTACTCAGTAACGTTTTTATATGTGTTATTTTATTTAAGTAGCTTATTGCCTAATTTTCTAACTTTTTACAATTATTTATATTAGACTACTGAAATTGTTACAGAGAAAGTTAATGACGTGGAAAATGACCAATTAAACTCTCCATTAATTGGTTCCAGTTTAAACTCTTTAAAACAAATAAGTGAAGACCTTTCATTTTGGGATATATGTCAATCGGGTGTAACTCGTGCATCGATGTGGTCAGTTATGGATTCAATAAGTCAACTAATTGAAACAACATTGGATTCAAATGATAACAATAACAATAATAATAATAATTCAATATCCAACACAAATCTATCTGTTAATTTAAATTCAAACAGTACTATACGTACTGGATTCACTAAACATGTTATCAATGTACCTACACAGCATTGTGGATCAATTAATGCATTCGATATGATTAATGATGAATTCTTTAACGTATTCTGGATACAAATTCTGTTAAATCAAATTCGAACTAATCTACAAGAAGTTGAGAGTAAACTAACTGCTGAAAATTACTCTCATTCAAATGTTCCTATGAAAGCAGACACATTTCTAAGATCACATGATTTGTAAGTTATGTTCAGTTACTTTTTATAAATGATTCTTTTTCGAAACAGTGCATTTTATAACTTGGTTGCCATGAAGAATTGGCTTATACTAAATCATAAAGAAACATCAGACATTTTGTTTTCATATTAGAAATACGTCACCATTGCCGTTCTGTTAGTTTGTTATTTACAATATTTATAAACCTGGTTACTGGGTATTAAAGTTGTCTTGATCTGAACAAAATCTTCACCCTGTTACTGGGACGTTTATAACTGCCTTCCTAGCCGCTTCTTATGACCCCAATCTTCCACTACATGTCAACTAAAACAACAGTGAAAAGGCGCGAAATACGAGTGTGAACCTTACTTTAGGGTATAGAAAGGCGAGTGTATTTATGTAGTCTCATGTGAGCCTGGTTTTCTAGAACTTTCTGGAAATATAGTAACGATCCATGTGATTATCCAATCGAAAAGTGATACATAATCCTTCATTTTCCTAGATGCTCTTGATAAACCTTTATTTATTGTTGAATTTTGACGGTATTTTGGGACTCCTCACCACAGCTCTACTTCTTAACACTCTACTTGTCCGTTGTTCTCGACAATTTGAAAATAGATTCCGTTTTCTATTGATTGGTTGACTGATATCCAATTGTGATTAGAGCTATGTGCCAACTTACTTGAGATTTATAATAATTCAATGAAATGAAATGTTGTGTTTATTGATTAATTTGTGTTTCAGTTAGTGTATTTGGGAAGACTTCTGTAAAAATGGTTATTCTTTCAAATTTTCTGTACTCAGAATAATCACTTAAGTATGGTGCAATAAATAAAATCAAATGAACGGTAAATGCAACTTCCTAACCACAATTTCTTATGTTCGAGTATTGGCTAGACTATCTAGCCATTTGAAATAAAACGGAATATTTTCTAACGCAGTTAATAAATCGATTACTTTCAGTCCCAGTAAATCTCACACAACACTCGCTCCAACGTTTAAAGTACCTAACACTTTAAACTACTGGGTTGTAAATCGAAATATAGCTCTCATCTTCTGCTTCCTCGTCATCCGCGTCAAGAAATATTATTTTTCTGATTTCGATTTTAAGTATATTTTAGTGTATTCCCATTGTGTATTCATAGAATAACAGTCTGATTTGTGGATAGATATTTCTAGATGAATATCGAAAAATTTTATGTACTATGTCATTATAGTTTATTAAAATTAAGTACACAATTCAACTGTATTGTATAAATTATAAATTTCTTTACAGTGTTTATATTTATTTTCACTCTTTACTGTATTAAATATTTAGAAATCAAAATATTTCATTGTCAAATTGTATCCATGATTTGCATCGTTGTGGTATCGGTACCAATTATCATGATCATTTCAAAACATTGGCATGTGATTATTTACCAGTTCTACGTGTATTAGCTTCCGGTGAGAATTCCAGACAAACAGTTTCCACTAAAAGACGGTATGTGATTGTTTTTGTTTGTTTTACAATTGTATGATAACTTTGTTGTATTATGCTTTAGTTTATTGAGTTGTTCAACCCTGTCGGGTGTAGGCAGCAACTACCAAAGACAAATGGGTGAGGTCGCGCAAAATCTGTAGGTTGATCAGAGTTAGTCATTAACCCTGCTGGATGCTGGCCCAGTTGTCCAGAGGTTGGGCGTTCGCGCGCAAGACCGAAGGTCCAGGGTTCGAATCCTGTGAGGTTCAGGAGTCGTGGATGCGCACTGCTGATGAGTCCCATACCAGGACGAAACGGCCGTTCAGTGCTTCTATGTTTCTAATGATGGTCTAACAATGACTGATTGATGATTTCATTATGCAAAAAACATTATTTACTGATGTGCAAGTAGACTGGAAGAACCCTTGAGGTCCACCAGTCCAAGACATGATATCAGCCTGTGAAGTCATCGTCTATTAGTTAAGCTGTACCAGTAGGTAGATACTTTTACCTACATAGAATCCTTGAAATCCTAATAACCAATGGTTAGATGGCATTGCTGAGTCTGTCCATACCAGAAGGTAAAAATGACAGAGTATTTATATGCCTATATTCCAAGTTCATTATACATCAAGTAAACTTTTTCGATTCATTTACCATAATCTCAGTTTTGTAATTCCTAATCTAATTTACTTCACAGTGATACATTATTCCAATATCGTTGTCCTATCGTCTTCTTTGTTTTTTTGTTAAACAGCTTTTTACACTACTTTGATCGGATATCTTTGTTCTTGCGACCATCTACTAAAGAATTTTTGGCAAAATCCCATTTTCTTTAATAGCACAATCACTTTTTTTTCCTACAACATGGAATGTATGCAAAAACACTATGATTATTATTATTATGATTATTATTTTTTTAATTATAATTGGTTTGTTGTATATGTGTATTTTTATTTTGTAGATCTTTCGTAATAGAGATATTGTTTTATTTCCTTACCTTATTTTTTTGATATTCCAAATCGATATATTTTTTCTCACATTTATATGCATCTATGCGAGATTGACTCTCTGCCTTTTTTCTTCTTCCTATCGGTTTATTGATGTCTTTGTAATATAATTTTGTCATACTGGTGTATGTGTTTTGGTTTTTGTATATATTTTATCAGGATTTATTAATTCATTAAATGCCTTTCATTTTGACAAGCCTATTTTTTTATTTGTAACATTGTGTACTTTTTGTAACTAAATGTATTGATGATTAAATGATAAGTATCAATATTTCTATTTGTGTTTGTGAGAAATATAACTACGATGTATAGTACTGAGTTTTCCTTTTAAAAAATATCTTGTTCGATAAATTGTAAATGAAATTGTTGTTTAGACAATTCATCAAATAAATTAAATCTATACTGTACCAAAAAAAATTGAATGTTTAAAGCATTTTAAGTGTCAAAGTTCAGAAGATATTTAAGTCTTTGTGGATATAAATATATTTAGTTACGTTTTGAAAGAATTTTGCAAAAAATCTACATAGAATTGTTCGATTATTGATGAGAGTGATTGATTGTCAGCTTCGTATGAAATACTGACATGATTCTATTCACATATCCTAACATATTCAGCGATCAAGTGGATTGAAAATTAAAATCACCCGAACTTTGCAATCGATTTTCTAGAAATTCACAATTTCATTTAAGTAGTCAACTTATTACTTACATTGCTTGCGGCATAATCTCTGTTTTCTGTTTAATTGGCAATAAAAATGTTTACTGGTGATTATGGAAATGTATAGAACTAGTTGTCTGTTAGATAAAATCTATTTCCGTGTAAATCGTGTTAGTTTTCTCAAGGTTATTATTTTGTGAATACGCAGTTTGTATGTTGAGTAAAATGAAACAGTTGTTTTCCTAAGCAGAAATTTTTTTAAATATTGATAAGATCTATTCACGGTATTTCAGTAAATATTGGAAATGAATTGAATATATCCTTAAATTCAATCGATCAGATAAACATTTATTATCACTAAGTAGGCTTGAGGCTATTACGAGTTTACGTTAGTCGATAAACGCGAACGAGACAATGAACCAGCGTCCAGGTAGGCTACCTTGAATCCCAAGCTCAAGATAAAAGGCTTTGTAAGCGTAGAATGTATATTCTACAAACACCCAACAGTCACAATACAATCAACCACACAACTCTCGTTTATTTATACATCATAGATACGTCCTTGGGACAGTTACGAAAATAGCACACTAAAATAACCAGCAGCCAATCACAGCCATGGATCTTCCTGGTGAGAAATGAAATCTCAAGGTCAGCTGATCAGTCCATGCTCGCAAACGTCAAATCCAAAATAAGGCATTTAACAAGCGAGTTTTGGGGATCTAACATCCCCAACAATAATTAACAGTGTTTATCAGTGTTCAATTTTTGTCCTTCATGTGGATTTTTCTTCACCCATTTAAGGCTTTTTTTTAAATTATGAATTCAAAAATAAAAGATTCTTAGCAGTAGCTTAGAATCAGTTAAAGGGAATCCCAAGTAGATAAATGCCAGTTTGTATAGTATATTCAAATTAATTGCACTTACTAGCAGACAATTACACAGAAATCTCTAGATATTTTTGATGACAGTTAGATTTATCTAGTTTTATTGTAACTTGAGTAATATGATTTACAATACTACGATTGAAATATGAATATAAATTTTGTCTAACCAAGTTTACCAGAGTATCTAAAATGTAAGAGAGAAATCATTTTATGAAAAATATCGATTTCCTTATTTGTCAAGTCAGTTACGACCTAGAACTTCGTACGTACGCACGTCGCCATACCGCATTAGCACAGAGACGCCATTGTCATTTCAAATCCCATAGTGGTGGGAAATAGTGTTACAGCATCCCATGTTTTACATCGATTCCAAACATCAACATTATGTGAATAATTCTATCTAGATTACATAATCATTCATCTTCAACCGTCATATAAATGTTTCGGTTCATTTATTTTTTTCGCCAAACGAAAACACGGCAGAAATCCATGAAGTCATTGACGAGTGGACTTTGCCATGTCGGTAGTTGTCGACTACCTGGTTGGGGTCCGCGAGATGATAAAAATCGATGGTTAGAGACCTTGAATGACATGGCTCAAAACCGTTTGCAATGGCGTCGATGCATTTATTCTTTGTGTTCTCTCTAATCCTAATCTTTTGGATTCTTCAACCCCTTCAGTTTTGACTTTCTAAACTTTTCTCATTGAATCATACTTCTTGAATAATATCTTCTAATCCTAACCTCTCCGATTACTTCTAATACCTTTACTACCTCTTCTACTATTGGATTTGAATTGACAATTATATCTCTGTGCTGATAAGGTATGGCGACATGAACTGATGTACTTACGTACGAAGTTCTACGTTGCAACTGACCGACTGACTATCAAATATATCAATATGATATTTAATAGAGCCTTTATGAATCTGATCTCAACCAGATAATAGCTGTAAAAGTTAGTGTAAAATAAACAGTCAGTATTTCAAATGCTTTATATTCATACCTCTGCAAGTATTACGTCAAGAATTATTCTGGTCTATAAATAATGTTGTTCGTTTTTTATTGGATATTCACTAAATATAATAACTATAGTGATCAAGTATTTTATTTCAAACAAATTAGCCAATAATTCTATATGTTCTTATAACTAAACATGGTCGAATCATATCAGTAGTAGTTTCATTTAGCCTGTATTACAAAAACCAATAAAACTATTATGAAAGCAAAAATAGTGAGATCGTTCTTGCTGCGCAAAAAAATCTGATTTCGCCTATCATTCATTGCGCGCATAAAGAGGATAGTTAAAATGAATCAAAATGGAAGCATTTGAGTACAGGTCTATTGTGAATGTATTGTCAAAAAGTCTTAGGAAACGGTTATTATAAGTATGAATGTTTGTAGAAACATGCGTAAACAATGCAAGATAACGTCTATTAACCACAAAATGG